GTTCCCTGCTCGAGAGCCCGCCGCGGCTCTCCGGGATTGGGACTCAGCTCTCCCTCAGACCTGCGGGGGAACTTGGGCAGTCTCTTGCTATGGACCTGTGTAGCGCCTGGCAGAGGCAAGGACCCTCCAATCTTGGGGAGGGGGGAGGCGCCAGGCAGCGCTCCCCCAATCTCGGTCCGGGAGGGGGGGCCTCCGGGTAGTGCTCAGCACAGCCAAGGCCCCCCCATCTCGGCCAGGACAAGGAGACTACAAAAGCTGTTTCTAAAGTGCATTTTTGGCGGTGGTGAGCCTTTGTACCAGCAGGGAGCTGGGCATGTTTTGCGGGGCACTCGTCAGGAACAGTTGGCTCGTTAGACATTAAAAGCCCTTCTTAGCTGCCTCTCTTCCTTTCCTAGCATCCGCCAGCGAGAGCCGCACGCTGCGAGTTCAAGGACAGAATCCACAAGAGCACGAACGTGTCGAACACAAGCAAAAAGCCTCCGATTCAAAGGCACACACTGCAGCCAACAAGTCCTACCTAGCAACGGCGCCGGGCTGAACACCTCAGGCGCACAGCCTGGAGCCGAGAGCTGACGCACGCGGAGCTGCAGCACCCGGCCTTTGTGTCACACCCAGCAGCCGCTCCGGTTTGGGGGCGATGCGTCTGCGTCTGGGGAGGGGGCCACAGTCTGCAAGACGCCCGCCCATGGTCCTGGACACCGCACAGATGCCTTTCTTTCAGAGCAAGACTGGGACACCCTCCTCTGTCATACCAAAGCCCTCCCCTGCCTAAGACTGCCCCCCATTGTGCCAGGCCCACAAAGAGAGACAGCCCGTCTCCAGAAGCTCACAAGCTAAATAGACCACAGAAGGGTTGTTAGCCCCATGTTACAGGTGGGCAAGTCACTGCATCTCTCCAGGCCTCAGTTTCCCCACGGTAATGCAGGCAGCCTGTGCCGGGGCTGGGAACTGAACTCAAATTTCCCAAGTAGGAGCAGGGGATACAGTGTCGGGTCAGGGGTCTGCAGGTCGGGAAGGAAGGGAAAGTCAGGAGCGCAATCAAAGGGGTGGCTTGATCACAGTCTAGCAGCGAATGGTCTAACCCGACCCACAGCTGGAAATCGACGCGATCCAGTCCCGGCTTCTGGCCGTCGGGGGTGGGAAGTGTTTCTAAACGACACCGGGACCCACTCAGCGCCTGCGCTGTACAGGTGAGACTAGACGGTCCCTTCAGGACTCTGGTCCCACTCAGAGAAGGCCTTTGCACACAGTCTGAACACAACCCTGGGAAGACTTCCTGGTGTGGCTGGGGCCGTCATTCCAGTTCGGGCAGCCAGACAGCTCCCAGCTCGGACTGGGTCATGGGTATTAGCCACATGAAGCTGCAAAGCCCAACACAATGCCTTCTCCACACATGGATGCAGACAGATGCACCACCTGGCTGGCTGGGTTTGGGGGGCGTTTTTCCCATGCTGCATTTTTTAACAGTGTGTGCCTGCCAGCCAAATATCCCTGGCAAATGCCCAATCACCGCTCAAAGTCAGAACCCAAGGAGCGAAATTAAGACCCCCCCCACCCTACCCCCCGCCTTTTGGGAAATCCTGAGAAGTCAGCCATGCGCTCCCAGCGCGTGGCAACGATCCTGTGCCCAGCGCTCACCTCCGCACTCTAAACACGGGAGAGGGTTCGGAGAAGAGCTACAAGGATTCCCGGGCTGGCAAGCACACCTCCCAAAGCAGCTCCAAGTAGTCAGCTTACCAAAGACATTAATCACGGTCGGTAAGTATCTACATGGGCAGTAAACAGCTGGAAGCTAAAGCCATGCAAATTCCCATTCGAAATAAGGCCTACGCTTCCCACAGCCTGAGTGATTAACCAGTGAAACAAGGTCCCCGGGGGCAGGGGTGGATTTCCCACCTCTTGCGGCCTTTCCATGCAGACTGGAGCCTAGGGTGACCAGATGTCCCGATTTTACAGGGACAGTCCCGATATTTGGGGCTTTTCCTTATATAGGCTCCGATTACGCCCCCCCCGTCCTGATTTTTCACACTTGCTGTCTGGTCACCCTACTGAAGCCTCTCTGGAAGACGCTGCAGCCCCGCACAATTCTTGCGCTCAATACAGGGGAGCTGGGTGCAATTCCCGTGCCCGTACGGTACTAGATTATCGAACAGTCTCTTCTGGCTTGAATCTGGGCAAAGCAGATGGGCCGAGCAGATCCTCTGCTTCGGTTGGTGTTTAGCAAAGACTGATGCATCCCAGGGCTTTGCACCGTGCCCAGCCCCTGCACTTCCAAGCAGATAAGAAATTAGTCACTTCCTGTCCTAAAACACTGTGCGCTGGTGAACAATTGTTGCATTCCACCCTACTGGCTCCGCAGTTTCTATCAGCATAAGAATCGCCAGAACCAGGGCCTCGTCTCCAACAGCTGTGACAAGAAACCCTGCAGCCATGGGATAACCTGTCTGTTACACAGAAGACGAGTCGGGCTGCCCTGCAGAACAAGAGTCTAACTCTGTTTTTCTTTCTAATCTTTACTAAAAAATGTCGGATCATTTGTTTAAATCCCACTAAACTCTTGGCCTCTTGCGGCACGGAGTTCCACGTGCTTTTAAAATGCAGTCCACAGCGTATTTCCTTGGGTCAGTTTTAAATGCACTGACTTATTTTCATTCCACGTCGCCTCGCTCTAAGGCTGTCTGGAGCACGGCCTGTCCTTTCGTTCGCTGCGTGTGCAGCGCCTAGCACCAGTCATTGGTTTGAAGGCCGGAAGGAACCATCAGCTCACTAGTCTGACTCCTGGATGGCACAAGCCAGAGAATTCCCCCGTTTGAGCCCAATCGTTTGTACTGCAGCTTGTCCAGAAAGGCATGCAGGCTGGATCGGACGCCATCAAGAGATGGCGAATCTACCACTGCCGTAGGCAGTTTGGGCCAATGGTTAATCCCCCGCACGGTACAAAACCTGGGCCTTATTCCTAGCGTGAACGTGTCTGGCTTTATCTGCCAGCCGCTGCCTTCCTGATAGATTAAAGAGCGCCTTGGTACCCCATGGAGATACCATGTGATCAGTGGAGTCCATGACGGGGTGCTCTCACCATCTGAGTAAACAACACAGGGAGGCGTTGGGGATCCTTGGGAAGGACAGAGAGACTGAAGCCAGCTGGGAAGAAGCTCTATCCACCCACCAGCAATGACATCTGCACAGAGCCAGTGTTACGAAACCTCCCTGGTTTGTCTGAGAGATAGACAGTGCTTTGAAAAGAGATGTAATCACATTCCGGAGCACTCCGGAGCTTGGCTCGCGGAGCTGTTCTGCTGATGGGGGCGAGAATTCACAGCGCAGGCAGCCGGCAGCAGACAGCTCGGGTTTGTTCCTATTACACGCAATGGCACATTACGATTCCTGTAACAATGCTCGGCCAGGGACTTGGGGCCAGGCACGGAGATCTAATGATCCCGGTATAAAGGCAGTGCTGCCTTGGCTAGAGCACTGGGAGACCTTCTGTTCCCAGCTCTGACACTGACCTTTGATAAGCCACATACCCGCTCCCTGCCTCGGTTTCCCCACCTGTGAAATGGGGCTAATGACCGACGGCTGAAAAGCATTAGCCATCATTATGATAGGTGATCACACTGGTATAACTATCGGGCTCAGGGCTACGCTGCACCGGTAGCACTTCTCCTACCCCGCCAGGAGGGGCTCTCCTGTTGGCGTACGTAATCCCCGTCCCCAAGAGGCGGAAGCAAGGTCGAGGGAATGAATGCTCCACTGCAGAATCTCTGCTCTGTACCGCTGCCTGAAACCCCTGGCACGCCGGGCGAATCGTTATTCACCAGCTCGCCTCAATCCCGAGCAGAGCCGCCGCTTTGCACTGCCAAGGCTTTGCGGCGAAGGTCTAAAGAACTCCTGCTCGTTAGCACTAACGGCGCCGGGGATGGCAGAGTCACTGTTCCCACACGCAGGCACTGGCAGCGCCGGGGGGTTTACCACCAGCCCAGCACTGCAGAGGTTAATACTCCAAGACGGGACCGGTTATTAAACATTTGAAAATCGGATTTGGGGTTAATGTGGGCCAGGACAGTGACCCCCATGATCCACGCGCAAGCGCCACCTGCACGCTCTGCTGTGAACCACTGCAGCAACAGCTCCCCACTGTGCCCCCGAGCCAGCTCCCTGCACCGGCTGGGAACGCAGTGGCTGGGCACCGAGCGAAGAGCCGGGAGAGGAGAGAGCAGCACGCATGGGGAAGAGCTAGTGAGATCATTGCAGAGATGGGGAGGAGAGCAAAGGGGCAGAACAAGGCGTTAGGGTCGCTGCAGCCACGCCGGGCAGGGGGGACAGGGAGTCAGGGTGACTGAAGGGGGAAGCGGCAGAGGGACAGGGAATCAGGGGCATTGCGGTGACACTGGGGGGACACAGTGAGTCAGGGTAAATGCAATGACGACGGGAGGGGGGTGGCGAACGGGGAGTCATGGCCACTGCAGAGACGCTGGGGCGGGTAGCGAGGGGGAATGGGCAGCGAGGGTCACTGCAGCAAGGGGGGGGGGGAGGAGGATATAGGGGATGGACAGGTGTGGATGAGGGGCTTCCCGCCCCAATGGGTGAAGGGAAGCAGCAGGACCAGAGAAGGGGGACGACACAGACATTATACAAAGGGAATTGGGCTCCTGCAGCAGCCATGGGGTGTGTGTGGGTGTCTTGGGGTTTATCCTGGGAGCGGCCCCCACCCTCATCCCCATCTAACCATGGGGAGTGCCTGGCTCCTCCCCCTCCGCCTACCCCCACCCCAACAGCCTCCTCTGGGGGGCATCCCCCGAGTCACAGCCCCCCCCAGCAGAGATGGAGGGGGGCGAGTCACAGCCCCCCCCCAGCAGAGATGGAGGGGGGCGAGTCACAGCCCCCCCCCCCAGCAGAGATGGAGGGGGGGATCCCCCCGAGTCACAGCCCCCCCCCAGCAGAGACGGATTTGGCCCCCCCATTAGGGCCCCGCCCCTCCCCCCACGTCACGCCCGCCTGACCTTTGCCCTTTGCCCCCCTTACCCTGAGGGCGGAGAGGTCGATGTCATCCAGGCTGCGGGCGGGGGCCGGGTCGGCCATGGCCGGCGCGGCGCGGGGCGGGGCTGGGGCTGGGGCTGGGCCTGGCCGGCTCCTCACTGCGGCCCCATGGACCCGGCGCCGGGCTCCGCGCACCGACTGACAGCGGCCGCCCCCGGAACGGCGAGCCGAGCCGCACTGCGCAGGCGCCGGCAGGTGGGCGGTTGGGCGCGCGCCGCGCCTGCGCCCAGCTCCGCGGAGGGCGGCACGTGAGGCGGAAGACGGTTGCGGACCACGCAGGCGCCATCTGGGGGGAGGAGGAGAGAGGTCACGGGTCGGCGCATGCGCGGGGCGGACAGTGAGGCGGAAGAGCGAGATGGCGCCCCGTACCTCCCCCACCATCATCACCACCGCGCGTGCATGCGTGGAGAGGCGGGCGCGAGGGGAAAGCGGCTCAAGGCGCATGCGCGTAACCGCAAGTCAAGGCAGGCCGGGGCCCGCGCGTGCGTCTGGAAAAGAGGAAGGCCCGCGCATGCGCGAGAGAGCAGCCGACCGAGACGGGCTGCGCTTCATTTACGCATGCGCCGGGTGGGAGACAGGGATGGAGGAGGGGGAGCACGTGCAAGGCGCGGCTGTGAGGGCGAACAGGGCGCGAGGCGGGGGGACGGTGTTCCCGCCTTTTTCACCTGCTGGGGGCGGGGCCTCGGTCTGGGGCGCGACGGGGCCTAGTGCTGAAGGGGCGGGGCCTGAACTTAGGGGGAGTGGGGCGGTCTGGGGGGCGGACCTGTTCCTGGGGGGGAATTGATTGGAAGTGGAGGGACGGGCTCAGTGGGCGGGGCCTGCTCATGAAGGGGCGGGGCCTATTTCAGAGCAAGGAGGGGCAGCCTGAGGGGGAGAAACCTGTATCTGTGGGGGAGGAGCCTGTTCTTCAGGGGGTGTGGCTTGACCCTGCTGGGGGAGGGGCGGTCTAAAGGGGAGGGGGGGGCTGGATGG